CTGCCTCTGGTCCTCATGTCTCTGACTGACTGGAGGCTGGCAGGGAGAACAGCCTCCGTGGAACCGGGGTGGACGTGTTTCGCATCGTGACTCCCTGCGGATGCCCTCTTCTCCACACACAAACATTTCAGTTGCGTGGATCTCCTCCCCGCTGCGTGGATTTTCAGCGCTAACAGAGCCGCACTCACCTCGGTCTGCTCTCCTCCTGTTATCCACTTGTCAGGATGGAAACGTCGCACCATGGATCCCCGCGGAAGTTCCCTGGCAGTCAGACAGAAGCTCCCGGTGAAGGAAGCGGAGCGGCGGCGTGTCCGTGGTTTGCCTCCCACTGTGGGATCGGGGGAAGCTGGTTCCTTCCAACAGCTGGTTTTTCCAAAATGGAGTTTAGTCCAACGAGAGCCAATCAGAGCGAGGCTGTGGGGGCTCCCGCTCCTCCTGTGGGCTGGAGCCAAATCCACGCCACGCAGAACGAAACCCACGGGAGGGGGGGTGGTGCTTTGTTGCAGCTTTCATGTCTCCATGGCTTTGTTCAGGCTGACAGCAACACCCAGAGCAGGGAAGTCCCCCATCAGGGTTCCTCCTGCCGGGAGAAGATCCAGGAACCTTCCCTGGTCTGACTGCGAGGAACCTGGAGGAAAATATGCCTGCAGCTGATTTAATCCATCATCCAACCATCCAACATCCATCCATCCAACATCCATCCATCCATCCATCCATCATCCAACCATCATCCATCATCCATCCATCATCCAACCATCATCATCCATCATTCAACCTTCCATAAAAAGTAGCCTTAGATGTTGGTTTAATCATCTTTTTTAAATCGTATTTTTTTCTACACAAACACAGACCATAACTTCATCCTCATTTCTGCCGTAAAGACCAGAGTCCATCTATCTGTCCACCATCAATGGTCAGCAAAGCATCAAGAGAACTGAAACCGTCCTGAAGTATTGACCACTGATCCACATGGAATGATGCTATTTGGCCTCAAACTTAAAGGAACTGTTAGACAATAAAGTTATTGCTTGAAAACACCTTTTTTAGGTCATTAGTTATTTTATTTCAATCACTTATTATTTATCATAATTTTGATGGGAAATGAGGCCAAATTCTCTTGAAAAGTGTCACAATTTTTTTGTTATTTTTGTTATGTTTTATATGATATTATTACCTTTAGGGAGAAGAAACTATGTAAAATGAAAAATAATATGAATCAAAAGCTTTTAAAACTCGAACCTTTCAGGTATGGAGGATTTTAGGTTTATCTGTGTCCACATGGTGTAAAAATATAAACAACATATATTTAGGTGTTCAGTGTTAGAGCCAAAAATCAGGAAAATGCTAAGCTACTGGCTGAACTTCCTCTTTTCATCAAACTGATATGCAAACAAGAATTTTAACCTGGAAACAAACAGTCCCTGTAAATACCTGGAAACATCTCGACGTTTAGAAAATGGTATTCGATGATTCGTTTTATTTATGAGAGGAAAGTTTACAGCAGATATAATCAGGATGAATGAGTCCATGAAGTGATTTAAGGAAAAAAATATATATTGAAGTTCCCCAGCAGTGAAAATATAATAAAAAACATTATGATTTATCATCTGTTCACAACAAAGTGAACGTATGATATAAAAGTAATTCACTACAAGCTTTACAGCTTCAAAAATCACTTCTTAAACATCTAAAAAGTCAAACATTTACTGGAAACCATGAGAGTCTTCAGAATAACAATTCAGGGCAATAAAATCTAATTTTCCTTTAAGTTATCCAGACTATTATTGATGTCCACTCTGCAGAAAAAAGATAAAATGAGGTTTTCTCA